TAATTCGCAGAATTACTGATTTTTTTTTTTTTTTTCTTACAATCTTACATGTGTCACGTTACATGTACAATTCTCAGTGTTTGCGTGTCTTACTTACTTACTGTGTCTTTCATAATTTTTTTTTTTCAAATTTCTCTCACTTTTTTGCACCCTTTACGATTTTCTTCCTCTTTTTTTTTATCTATACTTCGTGATTTTAATTCTACTTTTTTTACATTTTCTCTTTCTATCTTTGATCCGAAACGAAAAAAAAAACAATACATTCGCAATTCGATCGAGCGAACAAAAAGACCCTCAGAAGCTCGAGCTATACTGCCTGGGGCAGCAACAAATTTACGCATGATTGGTAAGACTACGTTATTTTAAACATTACTTTGACGAAACGTTTCTCTATCTCTTCTGTTTTTCATGCAAATCACTAATCATCCATACAATACATCAATGTGTACGTATATACTTTAAAAGTAGTAAATTAAATTTTAGAAAAGGTTATTTTCTTCTATGTATGAAAAATATTTTTTTCCAATAAACCATTAAAATGTTGTAATTATGAAAAAAAAAAAAAAAAACTTTAAAAAGTTGATTAAAAATGAATTTAAAAGACAAGCAACGTACCCTTTCGATTTACTACGTTTTTAAATTTTTCTATTTCTAATATGACATCGTCAGCTCTTTCATCCCTATGACATTTCTTATATATATATTCACTTCATCCGATTCACTGTGTCGTTGCGATCAATGTACCATACATCGTTTCCTCTAAAACCCTTTTACACGAAGCACGTTCCGTGTGTGTTAAAAAAAAAAAAAAAAAAAAAAAAAAAAAAAAAAAAAAAATTATGTCCATCCAATTCAATTACCCACGTGGTTTGCAGCTTTGCAATTTTCCAGTTAATAACATACAGCTATTAATTGTTTGCACTTTTCAATATTGAACCAAAAGTGGACGGCCGTTGTCGTTTGATCTTCATGTTGTTACGCTCCAGGTGAGCCTACAAAACACATCGAAACTTTTACACAAGCATTTTCACACACTTTTGTGAAACTTTTAATGAAGTAAACTTTTTCTTTTTTTAATATAATTGTATTAAACGTGTTTTGATCATTAAAGTAAAAGTTTATTAAATGTATTGTTTCAAATCCTCAATTAAAATACAGCAGAAATATCAAGACGGGAAATTTAAATTGGGCATTTTTTTAAATTTGCTTTTTCAGTAAAGATGAATATAATTTTTATTTTTAATTTTAATTTACAAATCGATAAATGGAATACAATAGACACACACACACACACACACACTAAACATAAAACATAAATACAGATTGGCGCTCTGCTTGCTTTTATTTTCCAGTCCATTATTGGACACTTATACAATGGCTTGCTTGTACATATTTGCAATACTTGTTGATAAATATTGACATGTTAAAAAATAAAATATTTCTGGCACACTGTCGTTCAATGAGTGTGGCTTATCAATCGTTATTTAATGGAGTTAAGACCGAAGCTTTCTGTTACTATTCCTCAAAGCTGTTGCTGTTACCAGTTATAATTGACCATAAAAAAAAATTCTTTTTAAATACAAACCTACATTACAAAAACTTTTACCCTGTGATTTGTTTATTGTTATAGCCAATACCACAACGATTAAAAATTGCTTACGATACAAAATGTGTATGTTTTTGCTGGCCAGTTTTTATTAAAAAAAAAAAAAAAAAAAAAAAAAACCCAATTCGTCATTTTTTGTGTTTCATTACCTTAATTCCACGTTGGATCCTTTTATTTTCAGCTGTCGGCTGATATAATTTACAATTTTGCATTTTACGCTTGAAAATCACAACTAAAGCTCTTGAAACGAGCCTTCAAAGACGTTATGTTTCCAGCAAATAATCTCTCATACCCTTGATCCATATTATCCATCAATACACAACTTTCAAGTTGTGACTTTGATTCTTTGCATGAGGATCCGAGTTACCCCTTCAAGTGACAATAAAAAAAAAAACAATACTGGTTATACGTATCGTTTTAATCGATATTCAAGGTGTAAAGTGCAATTCCAGTCAATTTTAATTTATTTTCGAGCAATGCAAAATTTGATGAAATAACTGGGATTGACTTTTAAACCGTGCAATACTTTTTTTTTATTGAAATGCTTGTTACAACGTTACAACTGTCTACTGTCCCTTGCTCTCTATTGATTGATCTTGTGTTTTGCTCACAAAACCTCAGCTCTTTGTCTTTGGCAAAGCACAAGCATTATACGTACGAGTATATCCGTCATTTCCGTACTCACAGACATTTTATTATATAAATATGCTCATCTGATTTTTTACTGGTTTGATTTCCTGTGCTTCCACGTCTCGTTGCGCGCCAACGATTGCGCCCGATATTGGTGAAAAAAAAAAAAAAACGAAAAAAAAAAAAAAAAAAAAAAAAACCAATCTTCATCAAATAAATCGACGCACACGAATTACGTGATGCCAATCCACTGGTGGGTGTTGGGCGCGCCTTCGGTCGAAACGCAATGCGATACACCGACCAATCCTGCCCCGATCTCTGCGGCATTTGCTACTGTTAACCACCACCACCACCACCACCGAACACCATCATCATCATCTACTACTGCTATTATTATTATTATTACGTCCTACTACTGCTACTGTTAATCACCACCATCGGTGCCTCGACCATCAATCGACCTGTGTGCACGAGAACGGAAAATAATCGACCTTCCGCTAATGGACCAATTCGTGTCGGATGCCGATCCGATGTAACAATAACTCGATAATATATACATATATATATGACCACTCACCCGACGAGTTGAAAATCACATTGATGGTGTTGATGCATAAAACGAGCGACAACGAACAAAAATGAATATAAAAAAAAAAAACAAAAAAAAACAAAAAACAAAAACCAAACGTCGGCAGAATGCGTAGTCCCAACAGTTACTGTGTGGCAGTGCGAGCCTACGTCTCCGAGGACCGCTAAATCGGCCTCCTTTCCTTCACCGCACGCCACACCACCCCGATAGATTGCACTGGCAAGCCACTTACGAACGACGCTATGGGCATCTGGGGGAACCAAGGCCGAGCTCTCGCGCACCATGAGCCTGTCCGGCGAGAAGAGACGGCCCAACCGTGAGCATCGCCCCGCCCCCGCACATATACCCCTATATATATATATATTCACTTGTCTGTGCACTGGCGCTTTGTTCTCAAAGTTGTTCTTCTAGTTCCGCCTTTTTTTGCCTCAGGTATGTGTGCATTTTTTCTTTTTACTTTACGTGTACAACAATGCATAACTTCGAACAATAGTATAGTCATTTTATGAAAAAGCTCATTTTTATCTTCCAATAATCGCGCGTTAGAATTTTCGTTTGATAGAGAACAAATTGTTTTTTGTTCGAATGATAAGAATGGTCAGGATATGCATTGTTTCTGCCAAATCTGATTTTTTTTTTTTTTTTTTTATGCACCAAAGTGGATACTATCTCAACGTTAAAAAATTTTGTAACCAAGTTATGCTTTCAAAAATAAACGCTTGACTCCGTCAAATTTTTTTCCTTAGATAAAATGCACCTTGATGTATGAAAGATTTTTAAAGATAATATATTTTTTATGCTCGCGGGCTGAAAACGCAGTTGATAAAAATACTCTCGTGGCTGAAAATTTTGCTTTCTGTTCATAAAAAAAACGTTAAAAAATACTCGCAGCATGGGAGCAAGTCTAAAAAAAGCCTCAGCATGTTGATAGTCCGAGTTAAAATCAAAGGTGATAGTACGTACTTATGACCCGAGACATTCTCTACTTTCGCTTTCCAAGTTATTTGCGAATTATAGTTGTATGCCAAATTTTAATATTGTTTAAGTGCGTTTTTGCAAATTAATATTAGTTTAAACATTTTAATTATTTTTTTGGTTTTGTGACTCTGTATTTCATTTTTTAAGATTAATGTTGCTATTATTTTAAGATTTAACTAAACAAAGAATTTTATTTACTTAAATAAAGGAATAGATTGCTAATTTTTCTTAAACGTATTGTAATAGCTTGTCACGCAGTTTTGCATAAAAAGCTTTAAATATTATAAAAAAATATTTATCACTTTTTAATATTTATTAAAAGTATTTACACAATTGGGACTCAACTTGTTTCCAATATTTATTTTTATTAATGATGTACGCTCACCACGCGTTAGTAATAGTAGTAGTATAGTTATACTTTACGAAGGACTGAAGGACTACATAGTTATAACAAATGTTGCTACTTTTTTTTTTTTTTTTTTTTTAACTTCATTTAGACTGACCATTACAAAACCAAGTAATCAAAACACAATTATATTGTCGCACAAGATTCTTTCACGCTGTATCTAAATGTTTTATCATTCGTAGAGTTTAGTATACTTTTTTGAATTAATATTCTCTATACTATTTAAATAGACACTTGTCTTTTTATAATGAATTTCTTGAAAACTTTTTGTCACCTACTGTTTAATTCTCTGAATTTTCATTGTATTATCTTTTATCACCCACTTCTACCTACTCCAACTTTTATAAGAAACATGTACAAGATGAATGTGTACATTTTTTTCATGATGGAATTCCCAACTTGTTATTTTTCTTTTACTCTGCCCGTCTCCGTTACTCTTTCGTTCCGTTTTTATGCAGGTGCTGCGAAAGTAAATACTATTAGAACGATATATTTCGCTCGCGTTTTCTTGGAAAAGTAAAAGGCTTCTCTCGTAATCTTTACAACTTTTTCAAACAATCTTCTAACTTTCAGTAACTTGTGCATTTTTTTTTAACTCCGAATATACTCGAGAAAATACACTAAACTTTATTCGTTCTTTTTTTTTAATTGTGCAAAATACTAAATTATAAATTAACTGTATGTTTATTATATGAAAATCTAATAGTATTGTTACTTTAGAAAATTTTAATTTAACACAATTGTTATGTATCATAGATAACAATAGTTGGTAGTTAGTTAGTTATTTTAATTTTATTACTAATCAGTATCATTCATCAACTTTTTTTATTATTAAACTAACAGTAATAATAACTTCTAAAAAACTAATGGCTTTTAATTAAGGTAAGAAATTCTTTTGTGTAGTGAGGAATTTTGAATCACACACTACTAACAATTTTTTTTTTTTCTGTTTACCGTTTGAGTCATGCAATGTGTTAGTAAATAGATTATTTTAGAGTAGTGTGGTAAAAAAAATGTATATAGTTTATAGTCTTTCACAAATTCATCATGGAGAAGAAGGGGATCTAGAATTTTTAGTGTGCACTACAAATATTTGTTGTTATTTATAAAATATTTATTAGAATTATTTATTTATTTTAGTATCAATCGTTACACTTAACTAAAGTATGCCTAACATTTATTAATAATATCAATCAATAATTTAATCCACAACATGGCTTTTTTATTTTGATTTATGTGACTTTATTATTTATAACTACGATAATTTCGAACGTTTTTTTTTCCTTTTTAAAAAAATCGTCTAGTTTTTTTTAACTACCTAATCTATTGTATTGTATCAAAGTGAAAAATGTATGGTTCATATGTACAAGGTAATCTTTAGATAGTTATTGTTTGATGTTAGATTTGATACCTTTTTATTGATTTATATCATAATACGCTAGATAACTATTATTTCCTTATAACTTTGAATAATGATATAAAAAATTTTTATAAACCAAACAATTAATTGATTATAAAAACCTTATTTTTAGTAAGTTATTATTTGCTCATTATTGGTCTTTCGCAAATCAGTTTAAAACTATAGCCATTTATAAATTAAGAGTTTTTTTTTAATGTGATACATTTGCTCGAGATAGTCAAACGATACCAGCCAATGTTAAATAGTTTGTCACATTGAGTATTAAAGCTTATGTACATGATTTATTTATTAAATATTTATTATTACAGTAGTATCATATTATGCATACATTATTTGATACATAAAAATTGTGTTAGCTAAAAGAAACATTGTTCTAAAGAGCAGTATAATTTAATTAGTCCTAAAAACAGAATTCATATTTTTTGAGCTTCATGCTTTCATTTTCTTTTACTTAAAATCTATCGCGAATCTTAGGTTGACAGTGCGTCTCAATTTTATTTTCCTCATACTAACAAGGTCTTTATAGTAACATGTATCAACATATGTCAAGTACATAAGAGTACCAATATTCAAATCATACAATTGAGAAAAAATACTAATATACTCATGTGGTAAAGTAAGGGAAAAACTTAAAATATTACATCTACACTGATCTTTATGTCTGATTTAGTAAATAGTGTGAGAATTTGTGATTTACATTCATGTATGCGAAATTTAGATTTAGCTTTGAAATGAATATCTTAGATTTGAGATCAGAACCATGCATTATAATATATGATGCTATTAATGCTGGAAGTAGTCTTATACTGATTGACAAAGTAATATTAAACGATTTTAAATCTTATAAACTAAGTATCACCAAATATTATTTTCATTTTCATTTCTGTGAATTTATTTTATTTCAATGAGATAAAATTTTTTTTAAATCGTTTGAAAGAAATACTGTAACTTTTTATTAAATTTTGTGAGATTTCTTTAAAATTTTTTTTTATGTTTACGAGATGTATTATACTATGTTAGCGCTTGTATGTTCAGTAAGATGCAAAATTGATGTTTCTATCTACGTGACTTGTATGTGTAAATATATGTGTATCAGATGGTTAAAAAAAAAAGCAAAATAATGAAAGGAATTTATTTAAAAAAAAACTTTTGTGGTGTTTACTTTGTATGATTGTATAATTCTTTGAAAATGTATTGTGAAACATTAAAAAAAAAAAATTTTTTTTGTTATTTTCGATTGAGTCTAGTAAATTGATTTTTATATAAAATTTCATCAAAATTTTTGAATAATTTAAAAATTATAAGTTTAATTTATTTTAAAATTATGTAAAATGATCATCTTAAAAACACAATGCTATAATTTAATTATAGCATAGATAAATTATAAAAAACAATGCCTTAAAACTCTGCAAATATAGCTGTATAGCTTTATAATATAAACTTATAAATATAAAAAAAGTCAGCTTGAAATAATTACCTAGTAATTGGGCTCGTAACTCTCGCGCTAGCTACTTTTTTAAGCTATTGTATAAACTAAAATCTGTACAGCATTTTAAAATCTCCGTAGCATTGGTTGTTCTGTGTAGAAAACTGTATTGAGCAGACTAGAGTTGATTTTGTACCAGAAAAATATTGTACTTTCAACAATTACAAGTTTTTAATTCTTTGATTGTTGAATTCATTCAATTGATCTAGAAGGACATTTTTCGTAATAGTTCAATTGAATGTAGTTGGTACGAACATGACAAAATTATTTCTTAGTTTTTATAGAAAATATTGTAAGAAGTTTTGTCACGAAATATTTATTGAATTTTAATAGTTCCAAATGGCAAATACAACAAAAAAAAGAAGTCATTAAGAATAATGACATCTTTACGTGAAATTAAAAAAAAAATTGTATGTTAGGAATTTATTATAAGCAGCTTAAAAATACAAGATTGAATCGTAGGAGCGAGTGACCGCAGAGAAAGCAGCGTCCTGGAATTGGAAAGACGCACTTATGATCGAAACAGCGAATCAGATGAAGATGAGAAATTGAGGTATAAAGTTTTAACATTAATCTTTTTTTTTCTTTTTTTTTTACGTATTACAAAAAAATTATTATTTTTATGTCGTGTAACTTTTTAATCTACATCGTAAGATTTTATTACGCAATGCATGCCAAAATAAAAAAAAAATAAAAATGTTTTTATAACGACTAACATCGAGATTTAAATACACATGAAAAGTAAATCGTCACTGCTAATATGATTTTATCTTGTAATGTAATGCAACCAACAGTCAGCCGATAATAGAGCCAATTATAAAGGGAGAGAACGGTGTTGACCTTCCACTTGGTCCCGGGCAAGTTGCACCAAAGACCTTCAGGCCATCTAAAGGTAACGTATGAAATAATTTAAAATACAACAAATGCATACGAATTAAAGATTGTTACTTTTCATCCTCAAATGTAGATCAACAAAGCGGCAAAGTGAAGCTCGCCATATTTTTGAGCAAAGGTAATCTCGAGGTCGAAGTTATCTCTGCAAAAGATATATGCCCTCTCGACGCGGAAGAACCAGGTAAGTTTACCATCAATTTTATACTAGAAAAATTTAACCGAAATTTCATTCCAACCCACAAAAAGATTGTATCCCTCTTTCACCGATGAGTACACTAATGTCGCAAGCTCCTTTGAAATAAAAATCGATATTGCAATTTTCACCTGCTTCGACTTGCAGACACGTACATAAAGACGTACTTGCGGGCCGAGGAGCGCTGGTTGCACAAGCGCAAGACTCGGGTAGTGCGGCACTCGCGCAACCCCCAGTATCGGCAGACCCTAAAGTACGCGAGCTGCGACGCCTTGGGACGCAACCTCCTGGTCATGCTGTGGCAGAAGAAACAAGGCTTTGAGAGCAACCAAGGCTTGGGTGGGGCTGAAATCGACCTCGAAGAGCTGGCCTTGACCCGCTTGACCCTCGGTTGGTACCACCTCTTCCCGATACACACCCTGGGCACCCAAACCGCTGACTCGCCATGATGGTTAAGGGAAAAATGGGCCCTCGAGGCTGGCGAACTCGATCTTAGGCTGAGCTTGCTACTCAACGACGAGTCCGTCAAGATCGTTTCGTGATGGGATACCAGCGAATTTCCGAGAAATATCGCTCGCTCACGTCTCGTTCGCACGTTTTTTTTTTTACTACATCCTTGGATTCTTTCATTCGAAGCAAAAAAGAGAGGAAGGACTCGTACGACAATCAATTCATCGGTCGCGATATCTTTGACAAATGTATATCTCCAAGGATTATGAACGATTTTACACTCACTATAAAATGGACAATCATTCGAAAATATTTGTGTGTGGCTGTGTCCTGCTTCGTAAAATAATGAAGGAAATTTAAAAAAAAAAAAAAAAAAAAGGAGTTTTCGTTTATGGATTTGGTATAGCTTAATCAGTCGTTGGTGCGACGATAAATCAACGAGTTGTGGGCGTAAGTGAAAGAAAAAAAAAAAAAAATTAATTTACGCTCAGAACGTGCGAACGAGACGTTATTTCAATCACGAGACGACGATGGTTCCATTTTTCCCGAATGTGCGCATTTACGAAGGATACGTATGAAATGCAAAAAAAAAACTTCAGTAAAGCCCATTGAAGTAGGACTTGAAAAAAAGTGTGCGCAACATTCTGCTATGCTCAATCGACATCTGATTCTTTGGGATTTCATTGTCTGGTTGATCCAGTTTGTGATTCGAATGAGTATCGCGTGAGCGCTTTTTCCTTACGCTGCGAAACAATCTGTTGGGGTGAAATTATTTTTCCGTGAAATGCTTGATTCAATAGTTTCGTTGACAACTACGTTATTTTTAACCATATTTTTGTTAGTATTGTTCAATAGTTGGTGTAACAACTTTTTAACGTTAAATCACAATGGTAATGATCCTCTTTTTACTGATGCATTACTAAATTATGACGTTACTTTTGCGTTTAAAGGAAATTTCTCAAGCAAAACTTTGAAACCCTACGTCGGTGTAATCCTAGAATTAATGACAAAAATATGTAGACATGTAGTGCTTGCTGGTCGAGCGCTACTTTAATAAAAGTTTTTAGATTTGTCACAACAGCCATTTGAGTACTGTAATTTGCTAAGATCCTGTAGATAATAGACAACAGCTATGAAAACTATGTATTGGTGTTTAGAGAGGCCTGACGGTTATTTTGTTGCTCCGGTAAATTAGCCGAGGCATGAATATTGAGTTAAAAAAAAATGAAATATTGATTGAAGCGGTTGGACTAAAATTATAAGTGATTCGCTTATTTTCGGATATTCAAGGAAAGAGGCTGAGCAGATTTTACTCATTGCCTCGTAGTTTTTTAATTGTAAAATATTTATATGCAAGTGTAACGATTAATACGATTTGGAGTTGTAAAGAAAAGGGAAAAAAACCCTGATCTAAGAACTTGACTCACTTGCGATAACGTAACGAAGAAGTGGCATGTCGGTGACTGAAAGTTAGAGAAAATTGTAAAAACAAAAGGTTTTTTGTATCATAAACAAGTTTTACGTGAAGATATTAATATTTATGAAATGAATCGTTTGCTAATAATTCAAGTATAGTTTCGTGCATACAATGAACTTTATTATACGAAAAAAAAAAAAATTGGTTAGGGAAATGAACGTTTTTGTCAAATTTTGAAACAAAAAGTTTCTTACCATCGAATATTTAATTTAATGGTTATTTATCAGGATACAGTTAACATACAATTATATGCGTCTTTTAAGGAGAATAAAAAATAAAAATTGACATTGTGGCTGAATTGAACCGATTTTTTTACAATAAAAAATCAACTAAATTCTACGAATATTGATCGAAAGTAATTTGAATAACAATGGATATCATTGACGTCTATTGTTTTTTAAGCTAATTATATAAAATAAGTACGACTATACTTTATGCAGCGAATAATTTTTTTATTTTGATATGGTTGTTACGAATAAAATTTAAGATCTATAATTGCTGGAAGAAAATCTTAGTTATAAAAATCGCACAAAAGTGAATTTAAGATTTTACAAAATTTTTTAAAAAATCCAAAAACAAAAATATTGTTTATCTGTTGTAAAAGTTGGATTATTAACACAGCCATGATTTTATTTCAGTTGATACAATTTTTACAGTTGAAATATTCTACGAATCTCATTAAATTTAAAGGAAAAGTATATTATTGATATTACACATTAGAATAATCAAATTCGGTAAAAGTTTTGTAAGTTTCAATGTCAACGGCCTAGCAAAGGAGACGAGGATCGAGCTGAAAAATGTACAGAAAAATTCTCTTGAAAAAAATGGAAGTCATCCTTGACCTTGTACTTCTTAGTGACAAAACATTGCGCCTTTTTCTACTAGATCTGCGAGATTGTAGATAAACTTTACAAAGTGGTCTATTATACAATTTCATGCATCATCGTGTTCTACCTCGTAAGCCTAACATTTACAAATATATATGTGTACATAAACCGATGACGATGAACCTACGTAGGCATGAGATTAATAGTGTTCTTCCAGAAACATGTTCTATTAGTATATTTCGATTTCGTGCTGTGCACTTTGACAAATTTAAGTAGATAGAATTCAAATTTCTATATAGTATACCAAATCACCATGAACGTTTCGTCGGGACTTTCAATCCTGTAATCCAATAGAATATTTTTCCATCTAAACTTACGAATAGTAAAAGCATTTCTAAAAATAGTATATCCAACATTTATCAAATGGTTATGAAATCGTCTTAGATACTCCATTAAATCAACTACCGGTTGTGACAAGATCATTTTATTTTAAAGAGTAATCACAATGATTGAAGATGCTTAAAGATATCATCTGTTGTATCTGAACAACAAGATTTTGTGTCAGACAAAGTTAACTGAATAATGAGAACCATAAACTTGGTCATTCTGAAGATATTCTACATGTGAATACTCGAATTATCAAGTTTGTGGTTATTATTTATTAGTTAATGAAACAGGATATAATAAAACATGTATTTGAATGACGCACTTTTCTGCTCTTCTAAAGCTAATTTAAAGTTTTTCTACGCAAAGTAACAAATGGCCTACAACTATAACTTTTCGACTGCTATATAAAATGATTGTAATAATATTGCTTTGGCACTAAAAGATAAAGTCTTATTATCAAAAATATATATCGTATCTACTTTGACAATCGATCTACGCAATGCGTCTGATGTATATGATTAAATACACAATCTATATATTTCGGTGACTATATGAACTAAAATTGTAAACTTTATCAAATAAATGAAAAAAGTATATGTATGTGATGAACAATTGTTTATAGTACCTGTAAAATTATATAAAAAATATACAAGATAAATATTGTAAAAACGTCCGACTATAAATAAGTATGGATGAATATGTAGAGTCAATGTACAATGCAACTTTTGAGACGATGCCTATTCTCTACATATCTGTGCTGTTATTGTTCATGCTCTTGGTCATGTGCACGTGAAATACATATATTATAATTGTGTAATAGACAATCGAAAATCGGGCGCATCGAGTTAAATAAATATACTTATTTTTCTTTCAATATACATGGTTACTGTATTTACTAATTAAAACGAAGTAGAGATTTAAAATTTTATTTTCATATAGTTAGGATTAGAGAATACCTTGAAAACATTTTTCCACTGTGAAAGTGACAAAATATAATGATTTATGTACGCGCTAATAAAATCCAATAGAAGTTCAAGCTGGTCTAAACGTTAAAAATAATAACTATGTACAATGCCAAAAAAAAAAAAAAAAAAAAATTTAAATTGTGGAAACCGCTTTATGTAAAATAAAGTTTAAGAGATCCATAGTAAAAATATTTAATGTGGCTTAGCGACACTACGTAGAAATAAGCGTATTTTATTATAAAATTACAATTAGTATTTGCTATCTAAAAAACTAATGGCAAAACATTTTTATCACGGCCGTGGTTTTTTAATGCGAAGTTGGAAACTGAAAGGCCGAGATGAACAATAATCATTCGGGACCTAAAATGTAAATGTTTTACAAACACCGATGGCAGAACACCAGTAAGCGTAAAAAAAAATTCATGAATATTACGATTTTATCAACATGGCAGTAAATCTTTCACATAGTTTTTACTTTCAAGATTATTTTTACATCAAAATAATTTGACATGATCTATAGAAACCCGTGTATTATTCAAACTACACCTTCACTTTTGTGAATAATTTATACTCTTGTTTTAACTTATTTTTGAAATGTCTTATTTTTAACTGCACATTAAAATACATACTAGCGGATAATAAACTTTTATTTCATGTAGCCATATTGCTACAACATGAAAAATGTTTGGCAGATTTATTAGTTTTTAATTAAAAAATTATAACGGGAATTAAACTTTGGTTAAAAACTGTAACTTCTAAAAGTGAATTAAATGATTTTTTCATACTCACAAAAAAAACTGTTGACACAACTATACTAATAAGCGTTAGTACAAGGTTACTGTTAAAGTAACCTGAAGATTATCGCTGGGAAAGAAAGCCCTTAATAAATTTAAGAAAAATAAGATAATTAAAAATAACTGCGGTTAGAAATGTTTGTAAGAAATTTATGTGGTGTTATCTCCATTTAATGTTGAATGTTGAGTGTTGAGTATATGTAAAACGTAAAAAAATATGTTAAAGGAAAAAAATTTTCTTAAATGAAAAGAAAATTGCCTATTGAAGCTGTTAAATAAATATGTTTCTACTTATTTTTCAACTCAACCGTAGTTGTATTGAGAAAAACGTGTCTATTAATCGAGGTAAAATGTTATTTTTAGTCGTACATGATGTATAGCAACATTATGACGAAAAAAGGAATCAGAATTTTTCTACCCTTGTCCATCTAGCGTTGTTTTTTCCGCTATATAAAACCAAATAATGAACAAAAATTCTTGCTAATCTCATGAGCACACTGTTTATTCTCAAAACAGAAAGCTTATTGTAGCTATATGCACTCAGCATATTTTGCAAACAGCGATATTTATAAATAAATATATATAGAATACGATAAAAATATAGTTAAGACTGTAAAAATGTTGAAAGAAATTTCCTAAATGTTTATCGAAAAAAAGTCTATAAAAATACGAAGCTATTTAAAAAACGTTCTTTATATTTATACACATAATGATTGTTAACGTACATACGTGTAGAGAGCGCATTTCATAAATTTACGAGAAATGTCAACATCATCATCTCTTTTCATGTGCACAATGACTACTAGATCAGTGAATTTCCATAAAAATTGAATCTACTCGATGAACTACCAGATACCTCGTTCGAGCAGCATTATCCTCCAGTCGAACTATAGTTATTAGTGTAAAGGTGGTTTCTGCTAAAGTGAACAAATGAATGCTGTATAAAGTAAAGATTGTGAACGAATACAGTCTCAAAATGTAAATAATTATTGTTTTTATTTACACAACCTACTTCAGACAACTACGAAAACTCAATCTAGCATCTGAAAAAGTTCTTACCATTTTTTCTTATATAACCCTTTTTTAAATAATTTATTTCGAAACTATCAAAAAAAAAAAAAAAACTTTCCTGCAGTTTACAGTACAAACCTTGTCCTTTAATTCTTTCTGGAACTTTTTGGTAATAAATTTCATGTATTCTTAAATATTTTTGGAAAACTTATAAGCTTGATATTTTTGTCCCCTATTTTTATTTTTAATTTTTTGCTAATTTTATTTACTTTTAGTTATCTTTTCATAA